ATATAATATAATATAATATAATATAATATAATATAATATAATATAATATAATATAATATAATATAATATAATATAATATAATATAATATAATATAATATAATATAATATAATATAATATAATATAATATAATATAATATAATATAATATAATATAATATAATATAATATAATATAATATAATATAATATAATATAATATAATATAATATAATATAATATAATATAATATAATATAATATAATATAATATAATATAATATAATATAATATAATATAATATAATATAATATAATATAATATAATATAATATAATATAATATAATATAATATAATATAATATAATATAATATAATATAATATAATATAATATAATATAATATAATATAATATAATATAATATAATATAATATAATATAATATAATATAATATAATATAATATAATATAATATAATATAATATAATATAATATAATATAATATAATATAATATAATATAATATAATGATGTATATATAGTACTCCATCCGTCTCTTAAAACTTTGCCAAGTTTGACCGGCACGGGAATTAATAAAGTAAAAACTGTGTGGTTAAGGTTTGTGTAGAGGAGAGAGAGTTAATTGGAACAATAAATTCTTTACTTAAAAGGGAAAGTTGCAAAATTAGTGGGACATCCAAAAAAGGAAAGTTGACAAAGTTTTAAGGGTCGGAGAGAGCATTATATACTGCGTATAATATATTCAAATTTTATATATTTTATATTTATAAGGTGTAAGGGTAAATGTGAAAACTGAAAAAACTTAAACTGACCCTTAATTGATACATGAGATGGTATGCTTAATAATGACACTTTAAGCACCTGTTTGACTTACCGCCCAAAACTTTATATGCAATTATCTTGCATGTAAAGTTTTAAATTTTTAATGTGTGAACTATCAAATAGGCTCTCTCTCAGGTTGATTGATGGTAGGTGAACTAATTTTATATTACCATGACATGTTTTCATAATGTTATTTCAAACACATGTGAGTATCTAGTAAACGAAAAAAGATTAGGTCAAATAATGACAGCCATCCTTGTGAGATTCTTAGCATCGACTGGACACATAACTAGAAGAATGTAATTTGGACTTTAATAACAAGATGACAAATAGCGAGTGAGGTTCTAATTCAGGTATTTGCAGAGATTCTATGCATTTTTACATAGTAACCTCTCATCGCAGTTTCCAAGATTCGAACCCAAGACTGACCCCTTGTAGCACTGTCTATCTATCAGTTGAGTTACACCCACCGACTGGGATTATTCTTATAAGAAATGGATGTCTTCACGCACAATTCATGTAATCAAGGCAGCCTCTATCAAAATGACAGAAGAATGATTGCTCCTTGATAAGTGTGTATTTCAACATGTATTTGATGTGTGTTGAGATCGGCTTTTGATGGGTTTTCTAGCTAAAATGTGTCACAAGGCTCATAATTAGTTCAAGTCATGATTTACCGGGTTTTGGTATGTGTTTGGTATTTTTAGAGTCAAAATCAGGAAATTGAGCCTGACACCGGCATTGGAGAATTAATCGGGATGGATCGAGACATAATTGAGAGTTATTGAGAAGCATTGAAGGTTCATGATTCATTAAATGAGTGATTTAGAAGTCAAGAGATCTCAAAGATCAAGTATGAGATCAAATGGGGATGAATAGAGCTTGAAAACAATGATCAGGATGACGTTCTGTCAATCATTCGAGCATATCGTTTTGTACAAACATCCAAAGTACACTATTCAAGTTCCATATGAAAGATAATTTAAAGGGATACAATTCATATGAAGACACCATGACGAGAATGTGACAGAATCAAAGTGAAAATAGACAATGAAGTCACATAATTGCTGTTGAGATTTCAGGATGCAACCTTCCATCATTTTATTCATATCTTTTGACTGGATGAACCAATTCTAGTTTTGCAAGTTTTGGTAGATAGAAGATTTTATTATCTACAAATTTTGTGAAGAAAGCATAGTCAAATTCGGACTAGAAAGACGCCCGCCGTGTGCGCGAAGTACACACCGTGCCTGGAAGATGAAACACGGAGAGACCCTAGTGGAGGCCGGGCACGCCGTGCCTGCCAGACATTTTTTAGCTACTGTTGCTCCGGATGCACGGACGCCAGGCGCGCCTTGCCTGCACCCAGAAATCCCGATTTGGCCAGGATTCGACTGTTTTCTATAAATACAACTTGTAAACCTCTGTTTTCGGGTAACGGAGCTTAGAGAGAGGCCTATGACGAATTTTAATTTCCATTACTTTTCCGCTTTGTTATTCAAGACCCCGAGATTATTTGTAAGTTCCGTCTTTTTAATTAATGACAATTAATTCTCTTTAGGCGAAATTCATGCCAATAATCCATACTTTTAACGGTTCAACAATAATAATCCATATAAAAGATGTCTATATAAATAATCCATACTCACCACCGTGCCTACATAGATAGATTAGATTAATCTTTTTGATATTTAATATACAAAGATACAAATTGACTTTGTTAACGATTGTCATAAATTTGAGTTTAGTGTTTTTTATATCATTACTATAATTATTTTCTTGAAGCATAATAATCTATCTATGAAGGTTTAATCGATCTATGTAGAAGCATTTACGAGTTTGGATTATTTATATTGATTTTTAGTAGAGATTATTATTGTAGAACCACGAAAAGTACGGATTATTGGTATGAATTTCACCTTCTTTTTATCCTAACTCTGTTGATCCTTCAATTATGAATTGTGAGTAGTCTTAATTGAGGATTTGGGATTGATGAAAGGGTTAATCATGATATAGGGTTAAATTCTTGAGGGATTAGTTGCATGATCTTTATTTAATTTGTGTTTGAAGCTTTGAATAATTTAATTGATCTCTTGTAATCTAGAACTGCAGCTAGGATTATAATTGCACATAGAATAAATTAAGAGAGATCTAATTTATTCCAGGACACTTTCACACACACTTAATTGTTCGCTGAGAGTTTAGAAACGGTTAGGGAGCCGTACGCTAGCTCATTTTGGCAATAATTTAGGATCTTGTCGCATGAGAGATCATCTGGATTCCCTAAATTATTATACTCTACGCCGCGAGAGCGGTAAGAACTATTGATCAACGTTGCTCAATTAAATAATTTTCATGTGATTAAGCCTAATCAGCCCCGAAATGTGATTACCCCGGAATCAATCCATGTTCCCTATCGTCATTAATTAGAAAGAACCCATTATTTTATCTGCTTTATTGCATTAGTTTAAATTCCAAAAATCCGAATCTCAAACATCACACTTATTTTATTTTTTTAATCGTTGAATTTAGTTAATTCCTGATTCTCTTTTTTCCGTCCTCGTGGAGACGATACTCGTACTTGCATTCTATTCTACTACATATTTTTAAATTCGAGAAAATACACATCACTTCTGGTACACATTTGTGCACTATTCCTAAATCATTGCTTTATGGGGACACCAATGTGCATCGGGAAGACACCAATGTGCATTTGGCCTATGGGTCATGGGTGGATCCGGGTCGGTCTGGTCCCGGTTCTGGGTCAAGATCGGCCAGTTCTAATTTTTTTATGAGGACTTAGCCTGGATCGTACATGGGTGGTCCGGTCTTGAATCCGTTATATTTATTTAACCGCTTTCAAGCTAAAAGAATTGGCCAGTCAAAGACCAAAACCGGGATTAGAATTGTCTAGTTCGGTCCCAGATATTGGAACCTGGGACAGGGACCGCCTAGTACCAGGTCGGATACCCGGTCCTGCACCAGGACCCGTTTTTCGGACCCGGTCCGGCTCTGCATAGCAGCGGCCCCGGTTTCGGACTGATGTGGGACCGCCAACTGGGTCGCCACCCCTAATTGGGCCACCCCTTTTATTGGTATAATAAAATATATAAATAAAATATGACAACTTGATCAATACAACCATTACAAATTTACAATAATAATACTATGAGCGGTAACACTAAAATTGATTGAATCGGCTGATTCTGCTAAAATTTCTGAAGTTTTGACTGAAATGACTGTATTGGCTGATTCTCCTAATTCATGAATAAATTATATTTAAAATATATTTCATTAATAAAATAAAGAAAAAATTATATGAAAAATAGCTAAAATGATCATCTACGGTAACTTCATACAATACAGCCAGAAAAGTAACTTCAACTTTATGTTTTCTTATTATTACACATTCACCGCACGAAATCAAAAGATACATGTTTGGTTAAAAAGTTAAGTTGGCTGATAAGCATGATAAGCCGAAAAATAGAGTCACCAAATGAGCTCTACATATGCTATGAATATACCGCTATTTTCACTTGACAGAAACCATTACTTTATTCATTATTTTAATTTGATCATGTAATTGTCTTCATTTCAAAAACTAAACACGAATTAAGAAGGTAAAAAAACTGCATTGCATTCTTAAGAAATTATTTTGCAAGAAAAATAGATATCCAAGAACCAAAATTACGAATCAGAAACTAAAAATGCAATCGACTTGGAGTTTACTAATATATTAATTAATAATGATTTCATCTAATAGATTACTAACCATTGTTTGAAGAAAATTTCGTATATATAACAGAATTCTACATATTTCCTTAACGATTAAAGATCAAATGAGAACAAGGCTTAACGTGAGAACACCACATTTACCCCGATGTGATGCACAATGAGGCTAGCCGAATGCACTTTTTCACGTTCAACATAATATTTACCAAAATGCCACCTTATCATTATATTGGCTTGTTTGGACCAAAGTCAAAATGTGCATCGGACGGGCTCTATTGTGTATCACATAACATTGAGTTAAATGTGAGTCTTCTCACGTTCTCACGTTAAGCATCGTTCTCATTGGAACCGCACCCTTTCCTTAACTGTCATCATAATTGTTTTCTTGAAAATAGAACTTGTTTACTCCAGAATTTTTTTAGCTACAAATAAAAAACCAAAGCTAATATATACTCTTATTTGGCACTGTTATTTCTCTTTTAAACTTGGAGTTTGTAATGTTACATTACATGATTCTAGATTTCTAGTTATCACTTTGTACATGCTCCATAAGGGAGGGAAACTTACACAAGGCATTCATTCATTTGTAGCAAAAACACTAGTTTATTTGGTATAGTAAATATCTCAACAACAAAAAAAAAAAAGAAAAAAGAGAGAACTCTACATAAATTATACATACATAAAGTAGAAGAGAACTTTATAGTGCTGATTCTTCAAAACTATGGAGTATCAACAACTCTTTGGAGAAGTTCCAGAATGCCGCCAGCTTTTCTCTTGGCCCTATCGGTCCCATTCTCCGACAGCTCTTTCAATGCCTCTTCCGCCCCAAGATCCCTAGCAGCTTTCAAATTTGGTACGTCCCCACCACCAGTGCACAGTGACCACAAAACAGCCGCAGCATTCTCCCGGTTCCGAGGAGAACCGGTCCTAATCACCTCGACCAAAACCGGGACCGGCTCAGCTTGACCGATCGCCACCTTCCCCTCTTGATGGCTCCCAAGTATCGCCAGAATAGCGAGTGACTCATCCATCATCCCACCCCCAGGATCTTTGAGCAACCTCATTAGGGGTGTCACAATCCCAGCCCTCACAGCTCGTACTTTGTTCCCTTGATAAATCGAGAGGTTGAATATGGCAGTTGCTGCATCCTTCTTCCCCCTTGGGGTCCCACTGCACAGCAAATCAATGAGGGCGGGGATGGCGCCAGCCGCCCCGATCGCCACCTTATTCTCATCAATGACTGATAAGCTGAACAGAGTCGCCGCTGCGTTTTCTCGGGCTTCTGGGCTTCCATTCCTCAGTACCTCCACTATATCAGGTATTGCGCCAGCATTTACAATAATACCCTTGTTTCCTTCATTTATGGACAGGTTAAGTAGCGCGGTAACGGCATGTTCCTGTGTTCTAGAATCTGATGTAGAAAGTAGTTCAACTAGGAGTGGGATCGCGCCCGCTTCTGCAATGCAGACCCGGTTGTCTGCGTTTCTTTTAGCCAGTAAACGGAGCTCACCAGCAGCAGCCCTTTTCTCTTCTGTGTTGCCATTTGCAAGTTTCTGCAGCAATGAATCAATGTCGGCACGATCACAATCCAAACCGCCAGTTCCTGACTGTTTGTTACCGCACTTCCCTTGATGGTTTTTGGGAGGCTCAATGCCATTGCTCTCACACCACATTGCAATCAGACTCTTCAAAACATAGTTGGGAGTCAATGCCGTGTGCAATAAGGTCTGCTGGGTCTTCGGGCAGGTTTTGTGCCCCGCATCCAACCACTTCTGGATGCATGACCTTTCATATGTCTGCAAATTGGGTAAAGCAAAAACGTGACTATTAAATTGGGCTCAAGTCACCCAAATGAGATCTGAAGAGAAGTTTACTTGTTACTTACTTCTTCCGTCCCTTAAAATTCTTATCACTTACCATTTTGGGATGTCCCAAAAAAATCTTCTCAGTTCCCTTTTTGGAAAGTTTTGTGCGCCTAAAATTCATTTACCTTTTTTTTACTCAACCACAATCATACATTTCCACTTTAATCACACTTTCTTAAACTCCGATCCAAGTCAAACCGGGAAAGATTTTATGGGCCGGAGGGAGTATATTCTAGACTTATACCGAGTATAGAACTAAAGTCGGATAACTCAAGCTCAAGTTAAGCTAAAGAACTAGAGGGTGAACAAATGGACCCAAACTAACCCTAAACAGGCTGCTCAAAACTATCAACTGGAAAAACAACCCACAAACCACTACCGGACCAGTCAGTGATTCCATGAAAGATCCTCAGGTGGTGAGTTTTCCTATCAATCATAGACAGACTCAAACCCAATAGACACCTGAAGTGGTATAACTCAACAATCACAACTTGATAATATATACATAGAGATTGATTATAGAAACAATCAAGCATGAAGGAAAAAAATGGGACCGGACCTGACCAGTAGATACAATAACCGGATCATTCATCAACTCAAGTGATATCGGACATCGAAAATCATCCGGTATGATTGGGAATCTGTGCTTGATCAAAGTCTTTTCACTCTCATGGGCATCATCATCTTCTTCTTCTTCAGGATTATCAATCATAACACAGTCCTTTATTTTTCTCAGAATATATGACACTGCCTCAAAGCACTCCTCTGGGATACCGTCTGAAGAGATGACCATATCATGTATGGCAAGTGATTCCCTTTTAAGATCATTTATGGTCCTGAGATGCAACTTTTCTGATAGTCTTTTAAAGATTATCGGGTCAGCGTCCTTTTCTCTTTGTGCCATGGCTAAATCAATTGCCAGCTGTAAATCTGGAGAGTCCACTTTTGATATCGCTCTTTTGAACTGAGCATGCACAAGTTCTATCTGAAAACAGGGCATGTGAAACATAAACCATAAATAAAAAGCAAAAAGATGATTTCGTATAGCTCATTGCTACTTAAATCTTAAAATGACAAAAGTACACATAGAGGTAATAAATTAGAGGTACTTGTTCTCGAACTTCCTCTGATATGTCAAGCTTATCGTAATGAATATGACCAAGTGCATTTTCTATCTCTTCGGTGATGTGGTGGAACTTGCCTGAAATTTTTTCTATTTGCATAGCCTGCAGCAGGTAAAGCACAAGCACAACTTAAACATAAATCCATAACAAAAGATAAAGATCTATTTGGCTGAAATCTATTTAGTCACCTTACAGGCATGATAATCAGAAAATGACCCCATTGACTGACTTACTTATTTGGCTGAAACCTATATAGTCAAACGTTTTGAAAAAACCCAGCCAAATGACTCTTACCAAAGAGGCTCGAAACTTCTTGAACCAATAATCTGTTGAAGGTAACATCTGAATTCCAATGAAAGACTTCACTCCAGTTCTGCTTTAATGAGTACGTGAATTGATGTTGCAATTTCACGAACTAATGTATATTCTTCTTTGACATTTAATTTAGGTGATGAAAAACTCAAAATTTATAGACTAGAAAAGGAACTGATACCTGAAAAATGGTACTGCCTTCATGAACCGATTTAAGAAGCTCAAGAGCTGAGCCAATGGCGAGTCTCAACAGCTCAAGCCCGTTAATGGCGTCATCTCCCAGCATCTCTTCTTCACTATCCTTCAAATCCTCAAATAGAGGGCTCAAAAGCTTCGCCCTCCGCACCAAGTTACCGTACATCTTCTTGGAGACCGTTTTGCATTCCGGCAACGATGAAATGCCTACGATTAAATCGGTGAGTTGACACAGTACATCCTCCTTTGGATCATCCATGTCGTGCTCTGACCAAGATTGCGACAGAAGCTTGAAAGGTAGGCTCTTATTGGATTCGAACACGCCCAGTTTGACCCAATACGCGTTATCGGTGATGACCGAGTTGACCTGAGAAAACAACCCTGGAATTTTGTTTGAGAAAACGGGGGAAAACTTGGGTGATCTGAGCTGATTTTAGAAGATCCAGTTGAAAAAATGGATCGAATTTCAATAATTTCGAGTACAGAAATCAAGGTTTTTACAGAAATTGAACCGCCCTGGGATCTGGATACTGATAGCGAGGAAATACTGTCAAATACATGCAATAAGGAAATTAAAATAAATACACTTAACATATACGTACTCAAATAAATGATACGGACGAATGAGTAATGATTAGGGGTGGGCATGATTGGTTAACCTGATTTTTGTTAACCAACTTTCTGGTTAACCGTGAAACTTGTTACTTCGGTTAATCGATACTTCGGTTAACCAAAGCTTCGGTTAACCGAGTATCGATTAACCAAAAATTTGGTTAACCACAAACCGGTTAATCGAAAACCATAAAACCATAACTGGAAATAATTTTCTAAACTTCTATGATCATAATAAATAATCCATAAGTAGATCAAGTTTTGAAGAAGATAGCAGAAATACAAGACACCAATGTTAACAAATACATGACTGCACATACTAGAACTGATATACGAAATAAATCTCCAATATAAAACTCTAGATTTAAATCAAGTCTCATAATTTATCTCCAAAGCAAAAAAAAAATAAGCAGCTCAAGTCTACAACAAATCTTCAACTTCAAGATTTGTTTCATTTCCCTACAAAAAAAAAGTGACATATTAAAAGTTGGTCGTTGATAAAAAATGAACATCTATTGCATTCTTGTACATGAAATGAATAAAAACAGATAAAGTGATCGAAAAACATAACTCGCCTAAAACAAACTAAAAATTTCAAAAGCTAAACTCATTAGAAACCCACCTTCTCAAAATTTTTGAGACAATCTTTCTACATTTGTTCTTCTATCTCAACATAACTACTCCTTTCCAACTTCAAGAACTCCATTTAAAAAGTAGGTTTGTTGATTGAGAGTTCACAAAAGAATTGCCAGCCAGATGGTAAATTTAAAAAAGCTTAGATGTAGTGAATGTCAGTCAAATCAGAAAACGGGGGATAATAATAAAAAATTCAAAAGGAAGGTGGATCATCAAACAATAAAAACAGAGGGAGTGTATTATTATAAAATTTCATTTAGCCACTTCACCGAGAAGCAGTGAATACCACCAAATCTCTGAAAAATGAAAAAATGAAACCCAAAAAAAAACATAACATATAGTAAAAGACAACAAAAGAAGAGAAAAGTGTGAGTGAACTTACAATTGGATGTGCTAGCAACTCTCCAAAGTTGTATGTGTTTTCTTCAAGTAAATAAAGCTGATAGAGACAGATCAATTGCCAAATCCTAAATAATTTAGACATAGTTAAGTTTAAATGACAGAGCATTTGGCAGTTGCCTGATTGACAATTTGATAATTCACAAATCTTTTAATTAAAAATTAAAGACAACATCAGAATCAGCAATTAAACATATATTTGTCCTGCTACCTTCTGAAAAGAAGCACATAGAGCTAAGAATTTTATAAAACAGTCCTTTCTTCACTATTGAAGAGAAGTTTAAAAAATGTATGCCAAAACAAAACCATAAAGAAACCTAAAAAGTGGAGTTACTCCATATGTAAGTAATTGAGGCAAGATCATAAATAATGTCTGCTTCTGACTCCATCAAATAACATTATATTGCTGAGAATTAATGCAAGGGAAATGCTATAGAAGATTAACCAAGACGTTGACATGGACAACCGTTTTAAAACCGTGGACTTGGACTTGATTGAATTGAACATAGTCACAGTGACAGAACTGAAGAACCCACAATAAACACAGATTTATAAATGGTGAAGAGGATAAGAGGATGGGGCATTTAAAACCACACTCATAAGTTTTTAGCTATATGTTCCGTATTTCCTTTTGGGAAATTTAAAATGAATAAATACTTATATAATGAATACAAGGTATAGTTAGTGTTCTTGAAATAGTTTAAAATCTTCCGTGAAAGAACATCAATCTTTAACTATCTCTGAGAACACAAATAGTCAGAACACCGGGTAAGTTCTACTTGTATACAGACTAAAACTCCATAATAGTTACAGAGTATAATATAAAACCGCACACTAAACATTATAACATGCAGTTATTAGCCGGTAAGAATTCGTGTTATTGAGTTGAAGGTTGGGATGGGGGCACAAGACTAGGAAAGATATTTGCTTTGCATACTATGGAACCCCAACTGTCTCTTTCTTCCCTATGCATACGGAATAACATTCTTTATATATCAACCACATTAAAAGAATCACATTAAAAGTAGATCAATCAACAGAAAATCATTTGCACAACAATCAGCGAGATTCCATCAACCATAGAGGCACTGCCTAAAAGAACTATACTGCATACGACAATATAAATAAACATTGCAGTATAAAGTTATTAGCCGGTAACAAAGTTATAATCAAATAATCAATTAATTAATTTGATTTCATAGTGATAAAACAGCAACACTTAAATTTTAGGTTTGAGGGAGGAATAATTTAGGATCGGAAAACAAATTTAAGAATTGGGGAGATTTTAGGTCTAAGGGAGGAATAATTCGGACATAGAAGACGAAAAGAATTGGGGATAGACTGTGATTCAAGGGAAGATAAAATACCTAGATAGATACCTGCCGTTTTAGCTACTGTAGTTAAGAAGAGATTGATCCCCTAAGAGATAGTATCAAAGAAGAAAGGGTGGCGGAGGCTGGCGGAGGCAGGAGATCGAAAAAGAAAGGCAATATACTGGTCGTTCTCGTTGTTCTCGTCGTTCTGGGCTGCAATTGAAAGCTTGAGATTGAAGAAGAACAACAACAGAGCAGAGCGTGGTTTTGCTTCGATAAACCGATGGTATTTCTTTCAAAATGGTAAACCGACCATGAACTATATCTTTAATCAATCGGTTAATTGAACCGTGGCTTTTTAAAAGAATGGTACGGTAAACCGGGAAAAAAATGGTTTTTCGGTTTTTTCCCACGGTTACATGGTTATGGTTTTTTTATGCCCACCCCTAGTAATGATGATGATTACATAGAACGACTTCGTATTTAAAACTAGAGATCAATTAATATAGGGTGTTTGACTTTCTTTTTATGGATTGATTTAAGTTAGAGATTTTTCTTTAAATATTTCTATTTCTATGTTTTAACTTTTGCTACAGAGTACTACTCCGTATATTTTAAATATTTCTATATGTTTTTAAAAAGTTAATTAATAAAATTGATAATATGGTGTTACAAATAGACTATATGTGATTTTATATCATATCATTCTAACCATAATTGTTTCGATAACTAGTACTCCGTTTTACTATTAATATATTGAAGAGAGATTTCCCTAAATGAGACTAAATGAGACTAAAATTGCATAAATAGAGCTGTCATGTTTTATAGACCAAAATAGGATCAAAATTGCACTGATAGACCAAATTATCCTTAATGAAACAAAAACAAAAACATATTCAATAGGCCCATGATTGCTGCACCTCTACCGACGATTTGCAGCAAGGCCTCCAGATTACCTACACCAATAATACCCTCTGCGCCATTCATCGCCGCCACTCACCGGCGAGGACGCTGCAGCTTCCACCGGTGAGACCGCCGGTGTTATCCTCTTCCTCCGGTGAGAATAGTGTTATGGCGTCATCTGTCACTGTTAAGTTCTCCTCTGGAGGTGTCGACATCTTTCCTATTGCGGCTACCTCCTCTCGAGAGCAAGTTATCAATTTCACGGGAAATTGCCATCATCATAATCATAACATCAAGGACAAAAACATGCCATTTTTAGATGCAGAAACATGTCATTTTGAGATTACAACATGACATTTTCAAAGATAAAAACATGCCATTTTTAGATGCAAAAACATGTCATTTTGAGATTACAACATGACATTTTCAGATAAAAAAATCATGGCATTCTCATGTCATAAAAATGTCATCATTTCTAAAAAATGTCAAACTCATTGCATTTTCAAACATATAATTCTGTCATCTCCAAAAAATTGCCTATCATGTGGCATTTTTTAGAAGGTGAATGACATGCATAATAAAAAAACAAGACCAATATATTGTCAAAGGACAATTGATAGAACCTTAAATTTCATATCCAGAAATCTAAAATTTTCAAATAAACAAATATTAGGTTATTCTAAGATTCAATATTAATAAAAAATGAAAATTTAACCGGTTCTTCTTTGTTGAAATCGAACCCTTCATATAAATTTTCAAAATCAATTTTTTATTTAGAATCTCATTGATAAAAATAAAAAAACAGAGCACCAGGAACAAGATGAGGAGGAGGAGGAGGAGGAGGAGGGGGGGGAGGGGAAGGGGAAGGGGGAGGGGAGGAGGAGGAGGAGGAGAAGGAGGAGGAGGAAGAGGAGGAGGAGGAGGAGGAGGAGGAGGAGGAAGATGAGGAGGAGGAAGAGGAAGAAAAGGACCTACCTTGGATGAAATAGAAGCATACTCTTAGTTCCAGCGACAACAATGGAAAACCAGATAGGGGAGGCGGCGGGGCTGGAGTGGCGAGGCAGCGGCTGGGAAGCGATCGACGAAGATGGAGGAAAAAAATTGCGAAGAACTCATATGGGAGAGAAGCTCGCTCACTTCTCTTCGGACTTCAATAGCCGATGATGGATTGGGGCTTTAATTATATTAAGGGCATAATGATAATGTTTAGTCTTATTTAAGGAAAATAAAACATTAACTCCTATTTTGGAGTTTTAACTATGTTTTGGAATTGTTGATGATGGTATTATAATTAATATGTATTACTCCACTACTATCACTGATACTACTAGTATTACTTTTATTATCTTGAACCCTTTAATGTGCCATATTTTAAACCTAATATCCTTATTAGTCAATTTTTTAGATAATACAAAATATATAATCGAAATAAAGGTATATATACCATACATATTTATTTTCCACGCATACTTATTTTTGACGGCTAAAGCCGTCACTATCAACGACATATATTTCAATCTCTATGGTCCGCCGCTTAGTTTTCCAACCACGCTATTTCGACGGATGTTATCCATTACAAATCAATATGTATTTGTATCTACTAGATTAGCCTTTTATGTAGTTGGGCCTATCGGATGCATATTAGCGTCCCGACCCGCTCTCTGTATATGTATTCTCCATGAAG